CCAAAGAGAATATATATATTACCTATAATTAATTAGCACAGTAAATGTGTTCTTTGATGTGTTATATATAAGAGTTAATAAAAAGTAATCTGTTGGAAAAAATGAAGAAAATGGATAAGAAAAGATAAATTTTATATATTTTCTCTCTTATACAAACATCACAGAGGAGCGCTTCACATTATTCTACAAATGTTCCGAATGATTCGTTCATAGTTTTGACGGCTTCTCTAAACGCCACTGCCTTCTTAGAAATATTTTCAAAGTTTCTTCAAGCTAGGTAAGTCTGGTCGTTTTGAAAATGCCTCGCGGCCTCTTACACATTCAATAATGAACTATGCAGCTCACTAAAGAAATAAAAGAAACATGGAAAGTTTTTATCAATTCTTGCCCTTTTCTTGTCGAATTCTTACAGGATTCTTATTGCTTTTTATCAGGTTCTTGTCACTTTCGTGCGGATTTCTTATGTAAGAATTCAATAAAAATCTAATAAGATTCTTATACAAATCGTAGCGGAGTCTTATCAGTTTCTTATGAGATTCATGTCAGATTCTTTTATAAGAATCGATCACTAGCGTAAGAAGGCTGTTTTGTTGTTGTGGCTCAGGCAGGCCATTGTTGTTAGGCACAAGTTAGAGATGTCTAAAAGCCAAAGGATAGTATATTGTGCGAAAGGCCATAGTGAAGCTTCTTGTCGTTCTGAGATATTGTGATCTATTTTATTTTCGAGAATATCCGGACATTTTAGTTTCTTGATATTGAAGACTAGTAGAGGATGATGGTGCAACGATGAATACCTGAACCGATGGAAAGCTGAAAGGTTGGAATGTTGAAGGGATAAAAAGCTGAAAGGATAAAGAACTGGTGCCGATGATTTTTTGAGTCAAGTTGATCAGAATGATTAGTTTTAACTTCTGTCCTCTACCGTACCTTTTCTGCCTGGCTCGTTTTCTACTAATTTGTTTGTTTCTAGAGATGCCAGAGTTAGCTTTTTAAACTTGCTGATGGGGAACGAGAGAAAAGTAGTTTTGCACTTTCAAAAGTAGAAATACGATCATTTTGCTTATTTTGAACTATTTTCGAAAAGTAAATACTTTTTCACACGAAAATGACTTCTGAACATATAAAAATCAGTTTTGAATAGATAGCTCGATGAGCGTTAACCAAACATACCAAGAAAACGATAAATGATGTTGTGGAACTTGTGAACTGCGCGCATCCTGCCTGTTGAGGTGGTTAGCACTAGGTTCTTTTAGTCAAGGATCAATAAATCGAAGATGAACGTTACTGGTATAGAAATTGACAATTGAGCTTTTAATTATCTGTAACTTGGAACAACCTGTAGAGCTCACCATTGGTTCAATAAACGAAAATATGTTTTTTGAACGACGATGAAGCCGACTCAATATTTTACGTTTGAATTTGATTTCAATTCTCAGCAATCACAGTCTTTGCTGAGTAGCAGCCTTACTAGAGAGTTCTTGTAATTCGCACATGCAATTAAAATTAGTTAAAAGTTAAGAGATGACAAAATGTGCAACTATATTTCCTAGTAAATACCCATGGTGAGATCAAAGTTAACAAAAGTGTTCTTTGTTTTATTTGAAGAAAAATCCAGTATTATTCGAGCTTCTCTCATCTCAGAACAGAGTGCAACACGAGTTTTTATTGTTAGCTCTCGGTTAAGATAGCTTAAGATCAACTTTATTTTTATTTATTTGCGATTAACTGGTGCCCAATGGGCCGATCAGCACAAATACAGAAAAAAAGAAACTGACATACATTGCAAAGTATGAATAAAACTTTAATAGAAAAAGAATAGACACAAATATCTCGATATCAGGACGTATACATTAAAGAGTAGAAGTAAAAGACTTTAAATAAATAAACATACATTTAAGAGGCAAACAACAATAAATCCCCGAAATATAGAGAAGAATATTACAAAAAGAATTCAGGAAAACAGTGTAGTAAATTAGTATCACAATCAGAATAGTGAGGAACAGAACTACAACAATTAGCGTTATACCATATTGAACATTTTTCAAAAATAGAAGTATGATTATGGAAACGCTTAGAACGGCGCAACCCCGTGATCGATTTATTCCTCAGCAGCCAGTCATTTCGAAAAACATTCGTAAAGTGACTTACGAATGTCACACCTCAACTTATGTACCAGAACTCTCAGCTCTTGATCACCCGTTTTACGTAACCTAAGCGACAGAGCCCTTAGGTATGATAAATGACTTCTAAGTTCACGAAGAATAGGTAAACGGTATTTGTTAAGAGGAAAGTACGTAGTACATCGCACAGAGAGAAAAAAAAGTAAGTTTACTAAATTCGCATATTCAATATTGATATCTATTAAGGTCCATTGCTCTTTCCAAAAGAGGAAAATAGTAGATAAAAACAAAGTAAATACCTTCCAGTGAGTGTTACGTCCCCAGGAGACCTCGCTACCTGAACAAGTTGCAGAAGCAAGAACAGGTTTATGATCACTAGTCGTGCCAACTTCCAATGCTTGCACAGATAAAGGAACACCGACAGTAAAAGCGTAATCAATAGTACGCTCTGATCTCAGCGACGTATTGGTACCAACCCTTATTGGAGCAAGGAAACACATATCAGCCCAATCTAACAATACCCTAGATTTTTTACCATCTTTTTCAATATCAATATTAAAATCTCCAAATAAGACACAGCTTGGAGTAATAAATGGTGAAAGTTCATTCCATTCCCAGGTTTTACTTTCCGGGGCATAGATGCCTATCACACGAATTGGTAGATCAATTAACAAGTCCACTACACATACATTTGGGATACTGCAAGGTACTAGTTTTACTGAAAAACCTGGGCGAAAGACCATTAAGACAGCTCCATGGCTATTTTCACCCAGCTGATAAAAACATATAAAACCATGTACACGAGTGGAAAGGCCACGCACGTTAAAAAAAAGTACATTTAAAGATGTAAACTTACATTTTAAATCATCACGCTTCCGTTTTTTCCACTCATTAAAGCAACACTGAAGAGTAGGGAAAGATTGCCGCTCTAAAAGAATTTGACTGAACAGACTACACTCAAATGGGGAAAGAAATGACACTGCTTCAGAAGACATTCTATTAAAATACATTGCTCTTGTCGTATGTCCTTTTGGCTCAAATGAACGTGCTTTAGGAGATAGACTCATGATGTTGTAAGAGATAATGAGTTTTGACCTGTATCTCGTAAACGATATGATTCATTAAGTTCTTTGTTGAGATCATGTTACGGCTTAGGCCACTTCAGCAACCAATCAGCAATCTTATTTACCTCGACGACCCTCATTTCTCATGCTACACTGGAATTATGAGTGAACTGATTAATAAATTATTCACCAAAATTGTTGAAAGTGGAATTATAACGTTGAATGCTAATGCTCCGAATAATTTACATTCCATTTGCAAACTTGCAATCTTTTTATTGCTATCGGAAATATTTAATTGAAGTTTCATGATCACTTGATCTAATTTTTTCCGTGACACATCATGTTGTTTTTGCATATTAATTATTTTATTAATATCGTCGTCCATCGCTTTTAATGATTTGTCTAATTCATCTAATCTATTTGATGTAGCAGTTATTTTACCAAAATAACGTTAGACGAAGGTATATTGTTATCAGATATAGCAGGGAAATTGTGAATTAAATCCAGCACTATTCCTGAGCACCATTTTTGTTAATTCCTCTCTATACGCTCGCAAGACAGGGCACTTCATATCATTCGCCGAATGAGCTTCATGACAATGTATACATTTCATGTTAAATGAACATTTATGATTCTTTATATCATTAACATCCTCCCCGCAATCTTTGCAGACATATCCATTATGCTTGCATTGTTTTCTAAAGTAACCCAATCTGTAACATTTGTTACATATAAGTATTTTTGCTGGTGCTAAATAAGCATTAACTACATATCTAATATGATTGATATACATATATTTCTGCTTTAATAAATCGTCGTAGAGTTTTCCGTTATTAACACTAATTTCAACCAGACGAGTAGCCTCTCCATTCTTACTCTTCATTCTATATGCGTCAACTGTATCCGGATATTCTTCCTAAATCTCCGTTAACAAATCATTTACATTATGATCCAATCCAACGTTCCTTAACACTAATGCTAATTGCGGAGGTATAGACGGCTTTGTTTCCATCCCAATTCTACTTTCGCCCAATTCCTTCGGCCAGTTATTTTCATTATACAATATACCAAAAGAGTATCTATTTTTAACAAATACCAATCCACAATTAGGTTCGTTAAACGAGAACCGGAAACCCGCCAGTTTTAGATCAAATCCCCCACAATATTTGTTTATATGCTCACATAAATCGTTAATAACTTTACTCCCCGAAACTTTATTTTCAAATTTTATAACAATTGGAGAAAATTCATACCTAGAAATTGCATAGTTTATAGCTTGGTGCGTGATATCTGGTAACTGGGCCTCATTTTATATCACGACATTCCATATCAACATAATTGTCAATCGACATATTACCATTTTGCTGTTGACTATATATTCGTTTAAGAAAGAGAAATAAGAATAGTCATTCTACACAGATGCGGTCTAGCCCATTATATCGGAAAATGACATATCAAATGGTATAAGCGATTGCGGATAAAACGTTTTTATCCTTCATCTTAAAATGTCTGGTAGACACACAAAAAGAACTGTTAGTTGATTTCTTTTCGTTAAGAGATCATTCTGACCTTCACTGTGATCAATATTTCTCTTGGTCTCCGCTCCCTTTTTGTCCGCCACAAAAAAACGTCTATCCCTGTAGTGAATGCAGGTAAAATCTTCTCCCCTGCAGAGAGTACAGGCAGGAAAACATTCTTCTATATCTGCCGGCCGTTAGTGGAAAAATTTTTCATTTGCCTGCAAACTGCAAACTGCTTGCACTGCCTGCAGCTTGCAGGCAGTTTAACATGCAGGTTATCAGCTCTGTTCGCTATCATAGCGGCCATCTTAATCTTGAAAGCTGGGTAAGAGCTGATTTCTAAAGGCTTAGCATTTTTAAAACATTTCTATCAGTACGAATCTCAATTCTTTTGGTAGAGATTTATGCACGGACGTTAAAAGAAACCTACTCTTAGTTTTTGGATTTTATTTTGGATTTATCGTCTGTGATGAGTTTTACTCGTTTCTGCATCCCCAAGTCTCATAAGCGAAAAACCTGCACAAGGATTACAAAATATGCTAAACATACATTGTTTCATCCACAATGCGCAGTCATCATTAAGGGTTCCCCTTCAGACAAAAATTTTTTTTTCCTCGCTATCTCTTACCGTTCCGGGGTTTTCCAGTGTCCAAGGTCAAAAACCCACCACCCGCTGTGGGGCACTTTTTTTAAATATAGTTCAAGCTAGAGATCTCGGGTTGGTTTTACCTTACGCTAGACACCTAACTACGTGGGCTGATAGGACCAGATTTTCGATTCAAGTCTTTGTTTGCGTTCTAGAGATCCAAGGTCCTCAAAATCCGAAAAGTCCTTTCGGATTTCCAGAGATTCTTGATTTTCTAGAAAATTAAGACCTAATTCAAAAATCTAGTCCGCTCAGCCCGCGCAGTTTGGTGTCTAGTTTAAAATAAAACCAATCCGATATCTGTAGTTTGAAGTATATTTAAAAAAAGTGCCCCACACTGAGCATGTTCGAACAAAAAACGTGTTTTGAGAGACACCTCTGTGCATTTGTTGTCTGTTTTAGGACATGTAGCAAAATGCTTGTAATTATTGAACGCAAGATCACACAGAGTTGTGCAACGTCTTATTCTGATCAGAAAGGTCTGCTCTACAAATCCTCGTATTCAGGAAAAGTTTACTTGCATAAGTATCCAGAAAAAAAGTATTATTTAAAGACCCTAGTTTCTAAGACTTCCAGAAAACTTGCTCGAAAACCACGAAAAACCAGTTCCAGGCCCGAAGCAATACAGATTCCGAAAGTAGACACTCTAGGCTATCTTTCCATGTGCTTGTCTGCAAATTGATTTTTTGATACAAAAAGATTTCTTTCTGAGGAGTGGGCCTTAATTGTTTAAACGAGTATGCTCTCGTTTTTGCAAAGTCGTCTGAGGTTAGTGAAGCAATTATAGTAGCTGTTCATTGTGAACGTGCTTTATTAACTAGCCAATTGTTGCTCATAGAAAGTGAAGGACACGAAAGGTAGTTTAACAATATCACAGACAACACTGTAAATAGTCTCCTCAAAGATCTAAAAGACTTGGGTCTTGATGAGCATATGGAGCATAAAGGATGTAAATACGATCAGACATTCTGTTTGAAATCAGGAAGAATGTACGTAAAGTAGAAGTTTCGGTATCTTGTTTGAATAACAAGTGTTGTATTCACTCTTAACTGTTTGACATATAATTGGTTCAGCAAGGCATCTTTAAACATCTTAATAGTATTAATACTTAATTACAATAGAGCTAAATTATAAGAGAACTGGTCGACTGGAAGAGCTAATATATCTTTGACAAGATGAACCAAACTTCTATTTTTTTCAACTGTGAAGTTGAATATCATGTTCAGTTTCAGATAATATTTATTCTATTAACTATAATTCATTAGGTTTATTTTAAATAATGGATAATACATGTAGTCCCATGTACTTCTACGTGCTTGAATGATACGCATTCATCAGTAGCAATGTCAACATCTGTCAGCCACGTTATTTCAGCGCTAAATTACTCAACATCACAAGTAAATCGTTATTTTTCACTGTTTATTATTTTGTTTGGTACGATTGGCAATGTTCTAAATTTAGTTGTGTTTTCTCAACATTCACTGCGAACTAATCCCTGCGCAGTTTATTTTTTTTCATCATCAATATCAGCTTTACTTTGTCTTTATTCTTCTGTTATGTCACGAATTTTATTGGGCTTTGGGACAGATCCATCGACAACTTCAGCACCTTTGTGCAAGTTAAGAATATATACCGTCTTTGCTTCAGGTACAATATCAGCATGGTGTATTGCATTCGCAGCAGCTGATCGATATTTCTGCAGCTGTCAAAGTGTATATCAAAGAAATTTAAGCAGTTTAAAAGTGAGTTATCGCGTAGTTGCAGCAACAACAGCGGCATCATTACTCATATATGCGGAGATGCTTTATTGTTATGACGCAAATCAAATTACTGGACCTTTTCTCTGTAACGGAAAAGAGGGTCCTTGTCGATATTTCAATAGTCTTGTCTATACGCTCTTCTTTATTATATTACCATTAATGGTTATGGTGGTATTTGGGATCTTAACGCTAAATAATGTGAGAAAATTAAATCGTTTAGTTGCCCCGGCCAGTAGTACTACTAGGGGTAGCACAGCACTAGCACGAACAGTACCATCGAAAAAGCGTGATAAACAACTAACGAAAATGTTACTTGTTCAGGTTCTGGTATCAACAATATTAACCGTTCCATATAGTATTCAATATTTATATTCAACATTTTCAGCGGGTATTTATAAAAGTCCATTACAAGTAGCAACAGAAAATTTATGTTTTGCTTTAATACTTGATTTATTTTGGTGGGGTTTTGGTACGTCGTTTTATATTTATACACCGGCATTATATTTATATAACCGGGCATATATTTAGAAAAGAATTGAAACGTTTAATGAAAACAGTTTATGAAAAGATATTACACCTAACTCACCGAAACTAATGACAGACATAAACAGAATATTCTTGATTAACGCTTCGAAAATAGTCGTTTATAGAAGAAATAGTCGTATGCGAAGAAAACAGGACAACTGAAGCTTTTATCTATCTCGATTTTAATCATTTTTATAAGCGAGACATTAACATGTGGCAATCAGTTTTAGACAGATGACCGCACTTGAACAATGGGTACTTCCGTCAAGAATCTGCCCCGTTTACAGAACTTATTTTGGAACAGGTTCAAATTCCAAGGTTTGCAGCTCTTACATAGACAATATTATTCCTAAAAGAAATTGAGAAATCTATTGGCATCATAGGTTTCTAGAGTCCATAAGAACGGCACTCGAATCATTTGATGACTCGATATTTTGGGCTACCACTTTGCTGTTGGGTATTCAAACAGCTATTCTACATCCTGCATTGCAGCGGTTCATACGAGTGGTACGGGATATGAGTATGAACTAAAATGCCTCCTTTTTCTCTCCAAACGTTCTCTCTTCTTATTTTCATGTGAAGGGACGTTTTTAAAAAGAAATAAAGGCGAACTAGTTGTTTTGCCATCCCTCGAAACGAACTATCAAAGGGTAAGAGTTTCTGCATTAGCGCAAAATCGACTTTTTATACGGGGAACAGAATCGGTCCAAATGTTTTTTCTGAAGAGCTTATTATGTGAATCGACGGGCAGCAAAGTATCTCTTGATTCAAATCACTTTTCGCATTTTGGCGCGAATAGTGCCGCCACTTAAAACGCGCTACTATTCGCGCCAAAATGTAAAAAATGATTTGAATCAAGAGATACTTTGCTGCCCGTCGATTCACATAATAAGCTCTTCAGAAAAAACATTTGGACCGATTCTGTTCCCCGTAT